GTGCTACAAAGCTCAACTACCCTGCGGGCCCATTTGATGTTTTGGTCATGGCATCCGTCCGAATCACCATGTAGACGCCCCGGCTACAGCGTTCCGAAACAACTCGGGTTCAGCTGAGAGGAAACTAAGGGTATCGATGACCTCTCAACCGCGGAACCCTCGTAGGCATTGGCACGCTCTTTCGGCTGCACATAGGTCTCAAGTTAAGTTAATGATGGGGCACCCCTCTTCACAGCTTCATCATGCATGCCAACTTTAGGCAAAATGATGAAGGACTCTCCGGTTAATGGAAGTATATTCAAGTTTTCAGAGGTACTTTCACTCCCGCTTCATCTGGGTTACATGCTATTCCAGTCTTCAACAAACCGTTCCACCTTGAAGTCACGGGTGTGATGTGTGAGTGTCCCTCTTTCACTCCATGCTGCCACAGTAGAGCTTCATCCTACTCTGCCAACCAACTTGAAAGAGGACGCATGGTCGTTTGTTTCAGCTTATTTCGTTTCAGTTGTTCAGGTGAAACTCTTCGCAGCTCTCACTCCTTGTGACCCTTGAGGTGGACCGTTTCTTCAAGAAGCTTTTCGTTGTGCTTCGTATGCTTTCGGTGCTGCACGCCTTTCTCAGCTGTAATGCTTGTGAATCCACTCTTTCATGGACTGGCAACTCCAATCTCCGCATTCGCTGCAGTATTTCATGCAACTGCTTTCTCATAAAAATAATTTTTTCGATTATTGAAAGTTCTCCAAGTTCATAGTGAAATATCCTACATGTCCATTGCTCTCTTCTTTCTCTTGCTTCAAGCGAGACTTTGTTAGAAGCTGAAATGGATGGCTGCCGTGATACACTTTCCGATTCACAAGTCTTTACCGTTTTGGCCAGGGCCGATCCTCCATCCGTAGATCATCTTGTTGCTGTGGGTTACTCCAGCGTCACGGTGCTGTTCGTGTCTTCTGACGCTAGCCTCTGCAGCTGCATTGGGCTTTCTCGCCCGTTCATGTTCGGGACGTTTATTCAAACAGTTCCTGCGTGGTGGCCTGCCATCCATTGTCCACTGGGGTTGGTAGAGCAGAGTGTGTATCCGCGTAGGGTGTGGATTTCGCGTGTGATTGCTACACACTTTCAATGACCTCAATGCTCTCGTCCACACACATGACACAGAAATAGATGGTACACAGTTCGTGTTGCAGATCACCTGCGGTTTCTCTTGGCTTGGTGTGATGCTTGTGCCCCTGCTTCTGCTGTTGGCCAGTTTGGGATGAGGTTTTCCGTCTCCACAGTTCTTCTCCTTCGGGTTCGTTGTTCCTGCGGTTCGTCCCATCTCTCCCAATCGCCATTTCCTTCAAACAGCACTGGGATACCCAAATGGCGAGCGCTGCGTCTCCACCTTTGTTCACGTGTCAGGCTGCTCTTGCGCCGATACGGCTGCAGAACCTGCTGCGATGCAGACCTAGCAAGCTCTGCAAACTCTTTCAACGTGTTCATCTTGTACTCTTCCAATTCGTTCCAGTTCTGACCTTGTCGTGGTCGACGTCTGATCCAAGAAGAGCAAAGATTCTATGCATACTTTCCATTTGCTTTGTCTGCGCTCTCCTCGGTTGCTATCGCAGATACCGCCATCCAATCTAACGAAGTCTTTGCAAATTGCAGAGTTTGACATAACACATAATTCTGCCTTGCAACTTGAAAAGCTTAATGCCGGTGCATTCACAAGGATAAACTGCGATTAATGTGCTTTTCCTCTGCGTCTTGACCGCTGCAAATGCACTTCATGTTTCGTCTCGATGTCTTCTTCTTTCGGGCTTCCTTGGGTCATGGATCAGCTGCTCTCCCTTTTGAGTGTACTTCATCGAGATTACTCCGTTTGCCGTTCCAGGTAGATTAAGTGTCTCAAGCATCGTGACGCTTGCTGTGAACGCTTTGCCTTCGAAGCGGCAAGAGTTTTGGTGCAAAATTGAAAACTAGGCCGATCATGGCTCAACTGCGAAACGCTGCCTAATTCAGACTTGAATGTCTTTGTTTCGGCGTATTCCACTTCTTTGCTTTTGGCTTCCTTCATGAAATCGGTGCAGCTTTGGCTTGACCCTTTTGAGCTCGTACTGTTCCACTACTGCCTTCACATACTTTCCTTCGGCTGTTCCTCGGTGAAAGTGAAAGATGTACTTTCGTTTCCATCACACCTGCTAACAGTTCGCCGTCTATGAACAGACTACCAGTGGTCTCGTCTTTGTGTCTTCCAAGTGCCGTGACATGCTAAGAAAAGTCAGAGCCTAACTGCTCCGATTTCCCGCTACCAGGTGATGAGCTGCCTTTCTCATCCATTCTGAGATCATCACCGCCACTTTTTCAAGTTGCCTTACTTGTAAGTAGGCGTCCTTGGTGTCAAGAATAGCCAACTTCAATTCCATGATCAGATGACATCAGATGCATAGAATATCCAGTTTTGAAGCTGTTTGGTGGCTATGGTTGAGAAGATTTCTGGTGTGCTCTCGGCGCCTCTGTGCTCTCGCGCTACGAACGACTCGGCATTGTCTCTCTTTTGCCGCTGATACTGGGCAAGTTTTGGGGTGCTTTCAGAACTCCAATTTTGCTCAGTCTAGTCTGTTAAGTTCTTCAGTAGCTGCTTCTTCATCGACTTTGTCCCACTGCTCTGCTGGCAATATACTTGGATTCTCTCCTTGTTCGTTAGTTATTTCGTCGCCGTGAGATTTCTTCCGTTTCTTCATACTCCACATCTCCTTCTCCTTCACATCGTCTTCTGCTAAATATTTCTCGTGTGCACAGAGTATCGAAACATTCTTCGTGTGGTGACGATTCGGCCGTGCGTATTCTCTTCGCTCCATGTTCTGGCACTTCTTTCGCTCATCACTTCCATTCCTTCAAAGATGCCCCTGCCTCAAACCGCTACTCAGCCGCTACTCTTTTGCGAGTCCTGGTCTATTAGCGTCCGCTAGTCCTGCCAGTTCCTGATTGCTGCCGGTTCATTGGCTTCTTCTTCTTCTTCTTGAACAGTATGTCACCTGAGGCTGTACAGTGACATGGTTCCGGGCGCACACGGTTAGTCCGAGTATAGGTTCTCTCCACGAACAGGTCCCGATCCTCCGCACTGCTGCTGTCTGCACAAGTCCGTGCACTCCTCCAGTCCATTGCCATTGTGCTCTTTCTTTCTTCTCAGGCTTCTCTAAAGCATTGACAATTTCTCCAAATGCTGCAATCTTTCCGCGTTACTTTCGTCTGAACAGAGACTTTCATGGGTTTGTACCTAGTGCGCTATGCCTTTGAATTCGATCCAGTATAAATCAGCTGTGTACCAACGCTCGCCTATCAACGTGCCTCCGGAGGGTTTGGATCATTCGTTCGACCTTGGCACTTCTTCATTTCTTGTAACGTGTTCCTTGTTGTGTGTGTGTCCGCAAGTTTTGCGTCCCATAGCGTCCGTACTTTCTCGAGGTTGCTATCCGAAGCGTTTATGTTTGTTGAATGTCTTATATGTAAATGGTTTATTTAAAAGTATAAGAAAGCAGAGCACGAGAGAACGAAGAAGCATCGAGCAAATTTGTGGAAGCAACCGCAATATCATAATATCATGATGCATTTCTAACATGATGGTTGCAACCATGTAGAAACCGTGGAATTTTTTCCGCTAAGGCTTTTCCTGAGTTCTTCACATGTGACATTCGAGTCCACAAGTCCACAAGAGCTTTCAAAGCGGGCGAGTCGTCCTTTCCGCTACAGACACTTCGCAGCATGGGGACCAGCAGCAACCAGCAGCACCACCACCACTAGCATTAGTCCGTTCACTTTCAGACGCCATTCGCTGGCTCTGGATCGGGCTATCTGTTTCAGAGTTCCACCTTCACCCGCGAAGCAAGTCCATTTTGGCGGGAATAAATGTTGAACAACAACCACGTAATGATGCAAACCTGAAAGAGCTTGCTTCCTCACAATATTTTCCACACAGAGCCACAACAGAGGATAAGCTCAGCGCTCTCCCTTTTTCTCTCCCAACCGTCCAAAAAAGGAATGCCCTCTGCAGGTTCGCTCGCTCAGAGCCTGTGCCGCTGGAGTCCTTCCTGAGTGGGGCGGCTCTCGAGGAAGAGGCACAACCGCATGAAACAGTTAAAGTCTGAGAGAGCCGAAGTTAGCTAAGCAGCAGAGAGCTTTTGAGTTTTCTTGCAGGTAGTTCGAGACAAGAAGTCCCATTGCGAGTTCAGAGTGTAGGGACAGCTCGACAATGTTGGAAGCAATGCTGTCGTTGCCGTGCTGTTGCACACAGGCGCAGGGCGTGTTTCCCACACATGCCGCTCTGACCAACACACTACCAGCGGCAGCAACAGCAGCAGCAAGCAACATGTCACAACGACACTCGCAGGGGGGCTGAAGTGGGCTGGGGCAAACACGTGAGACTTTTAAGAAGATTTGCTTCCATCACACGTCGAGGTGGAGCTGAGCCTGCTGCCCACATGCATGCCGGCGAGAGACGTGAGTAGCTCCAGGCAAGTTTTGGGCATGCGGACACCGTCTGAATGACAGTCCTTGCTTCGGGTGCCTTATGCGGTTCTGGCTCGTGGGGGTTTGAGATGCCAAGACCATAGCCATTTTGCAGGCGCTTCCAATTTGCAGCATTTCAGCCTTTCAGGAACTCTCGGATTGACAGGTCCGTTAGTTGCAGTTAGTTGCAGTTAGGTGCAGTTAGGAAGTGCTCTCCAAAGGCTTTTCATTCGCCTATGCCGCCCTGGAACGATCAGTGTTGCTTGCGATCGCCTTCAAGGCCTGCAGCGCCAGAGCTTTGTCTCTGCACCTTTGGGCGTATGTCGCGTGCACCTGCGATCGCATGTGCAAGTGTTGTTGGACTTGCTAGGCTTGCCAACAGGAGGACGCGAAGGCAACCGAGGACAGGTGTTTAGACGCTCAAAGGGTGTTCTGGATTCTTGCTAAGTCGTGCCGACTCTGTTGTCCGAGCTGTCGGAGACCGCTGACCTGCAGGATTCCAATTTGCTAGCATCATGCCGGTTTGGGCAGAAGCTATCCATGAGCTCGATGATGCTCTTTACTTCCTGGACATTTGCGCAGTTCAGGCGGGGATTGACGCAGGGATGATCTTAGGTGACATTATTGCAGAGACGCGTGCTGGCTGCTTCGGGGATTGGCTTAGCGCCTCAGGACGAGAGAGAAGATGCGCAATGTGGTTCAGGATGCATGCGAACAGTTCGCTAAAGTGGGCTTCCAGCAACCGCCCTCACCCCCCCCCCCCGCCCCCCTTGTGAGTTGTGTGCGCGGTTTATATCTGAGCAGACACGTGAAGGCCGCAGAACTCACACGGTTGATGGGGGAGCCTTGGTCAGGCTTCAGAGCCTGATTCGTTCGATTTGATTTCTCCAAGTTTCTATGCAAATTAAGCTCCCAAACTTCTGTTTTGCAATGAGTTTCTTGGTTATTCTGGTGTTCCGGCCGGACTGCAACATATATCAGTGCTCAGGACTTGGGCGCTGTACTCCTTGGCAAGACGCTGTGCTGCTTGGTCGCTAGTAGCGGCTCATGCCGACATACGAGGCCCCACACACATCAACGTTTGATGCCATCGGAATCATGACCACGTATCCCGTATATCAAATCCGTCCTAGCACTAGCTACCACGCAGGTTTACACCCCAGTTGTTTGTGCCGATGCTGGTCGTCATGTGTTGCCGAAGCTCAGGTCAGCTGCTGGATGAAGTGGATCACAGGGTGCGGCTTGTGTGGGGTCTCCAGGTTGGTTTGTCTTCTGAACGTGTCAGGTTGCCGCTCAACGTATGAGGTTTCCCATGGCTCAACAAAACGTTTGATTTTGGTAGAGGCTGTTTGGCAGCCTTCGCTTGCATGCTGTTTCTGCTGTCCAGGTGGCTGCATGCGAGCAGAAAGTCAGAGCAGTCGCGGATGCAATGATGCGAGAGGAAATTGAGCACTACAGGACTTTTCTCCCTGATCTGTGATATCCTCGTGCTGACCACAAGTGGCCAGCAAGCGCTTCTGATCCTGTCAGGACACGCAAAAGTGGTATCACTGAAATGGCTGAGGCGCAAGACATCCCGAACTGGGGAATATGATCAGAGATGATCCGATGCAGACGCAAGCCAGACATAGCCAAGTGCACTGGGGACTCCAATACAGAAATTCCAGAAAAAGTGCCCACAAGAGGCAGCTTTGCGCCGCTTTTCCGGGACATCAGAGCCGAGGATGCGAGACGAGGCGCATTGCGAGCCAGCGTGAAGACTTATTAATGAGCACCGCGTGACTGGACTTCTGCAAGGAACCGATGTGTGTGAGTTTAAGAGCAATGGTGTTGCGGGGACCCCTCGAGGACTTGCATGGAGGCCCTTGCAGGAGGTTCGGTGCCCCTTAACTGTCAGCAGGTTTGACATGCGAAAACACGATCAGGCCCCGAAAGCGATTACGAGATTGGACACGAATTCCGAGAGATACTTGTTACTTGATCCCAGTGACTTAATGGCCCTGAGAAAACCGCATTTGTCCTTGGCACTTTTGTTCTCTCTTGGCGATGCGAAAATGTGGTTTTCACACCCGAGCGACACAGCGAACGCTTGGAGACTTGACCCCCCACCTCCAGACCCCCACTCCACAGGAACCCTTCTGCATGGAGTGCACTTTTGTCTGGTCGTTCCAATCGAAAACGCAGGCAGTTCGCAGTATGGCAGAGCTGCGGAAAGTCGAGGACAGCAGATATTCCGGCACACCTGTGGAGCGTTGGCGCGGCTCAAGCGTTTTTGTTTGAAGGAGCAGATTCGTCAAGCAAGCGCTGAGCTGCGAAAGCATTGCCTCAGATACCAAGGCCTCTGGGTTCCAAGGGGTAGCCATGCTAACGCCATGCTAGCCTACCTCTCTGACAAAGTCTGACAAAGGTGCAAAGTCGTGGGAAAAGCCTCGTGAATTGCATCTCAACATCACAAGCGAGGCATCAAGGAGGCGAAGGAAACCGCGGAGAACGCGGCGGCTGCCTTGTGGAGAAGACTTGCTTCGGAGGACTTCTGCACGCTTAACTGCTAGAAAGCTTGCCCCTTACCGGTTTGTTTTACCGGAGTTTCACTGAACTTCCCCTGACATTCCCCCTGAACTTCCCCCACAGTGCTCTGAGAGATCTCTCACCTTGCTCGTGTGAGGAAACCCAGCGCCGCTCAGGGAAGTTTGTCAAAGACGGCAGGGAGCACGAGGCTAGTGCTCCCGGTGTGGTTTCGAGCCTTTAGTCACCTGTGCATAGTATCAGATTCTGCAGCAGTTGAGCTGGGCTGTGTGTAGCCTTAACAACTGCTCTGCTCTGTCCAGATCCGAAACAAGCTGCTAAGAAGCCTTGGTTGGAGGGGCAGACAGGGTCTGTAGGTGCAGCTTTCAAATTCTGACTGGCCTTTCAATAATCCTCAACCTCAACCTCAACAAGTGTCCCGCTACGTCGCATTTCTCCTTGGTGCAGATGTCCTTTGCTGATGCGTCCGCTACGAAAGAACTGGTCGCTGTGCAGGCAGAGGGTTGCAGGGGTTTGCAGCAAGGGCAGAGCGCTTGTTGCTGTTCATGCTGGTGTGATTTCCAATCAAATCTCGCAGCATTTGTTCAAGGATTCGTTGCAGTCTACTGCGTCAACAGCCGGTTACGTGAGTGGAGAGAAGGCCTGCTGATACTTTTGAGCTGCTACTTCTGTCATAGCCTGTCGCGCAAGCATGAGATCAAGGAGCGTTCGCAGTGCTTTCGCTCATATCATTGTGTGTCTGGGCTTGCCCAATAGATGTTGCAATGTGCTGGTCATGTCCAAACATTGACTCAGGTTCACATCTGGAGCAAAAGCCAGGGAATGTGGTGCACGGATGGGGTCGTGAAGAAGGTCCTTGACGAGGACTCTTTTGGAGGTAAATTTAAACGGAGGGTCGTTTTAGTGTGTGTGTGGGGTAGCTCTGTTCCTAAGAGTTTTCTGGCTGCTCGGGGTTGCAATCGAGGTTCTTTTTGGAAGCAGTTGTGATTGCAACAGACGAGGCCCACAGACCTCCCAACTATGCGCTCCCTGGGAGCCTCAGGATATTGGCACTGATCATCCCAAGGTGCTTGATAACAGCTCAAGCGTGGTGACAGAATTGCCATCTCGCTTCGACGAGCTCGGTAATTCTGACAAGGGACCCTCGAGCTAGAAGGAGCCATAAAGGGAGCCCAAGTTCCATCGTCGCGTCCCACCCGTCCGGCAATCATCCGGCCACCATGGCTCGCCTTTTTTCGGGGAAATAAACAAGTTGTGGAGTCATGCCCAAGACAGATTCATGTTGCCCATGGCATGGGCAATCGGAGCAATAGAAGATGCTCTTCAGAGTAAGCTGCGTCTGCGAATATAGTACCCATGCCCAAGCAAATGAACGTTACATGTGCGTTATCGGTGGAGGGAACTAACATCTAAGACAAGACGTTTATGCCGACTTGAAAGCTGGGATGCGTTTTCCCACTAGTCAAAGCTTCAATCTTCACTCCCACCACTTACGGCTTCAATGTGCACTTCTGAGCGACAGGAGAAGCTAGCGGCTTACTCCAGTCGCCTTTCAAGAAATCCGCTATGAATGGTTCTATCGGAGATTCCTAAAGTGTTACAGGCCTCTGAGTGCAGTGAACTGCTCGACCCTATGAGAGCGCCTCTGAACGACACAGAGTAGAGTTTTAGACATTGTGATCCCTCCAAGCTGCTGCAATGAAGAAACATCGGGTTTTTGCACAGTTCCATTAAAACATATGCGAGCCGTTCCAAAGGGGCAAACGAGCCTGTTGCCTTCTTGTTGTTTTCGGCTTTGTGTTGCCATTGCTGTGCGCAAAACTCTCGAGTGAACCCAATGTGATCCAGAATGGCCAGGCTGAATAGGGCGATTGTGTTCCTGACACGGAATTGTCAGTTTCCACTGATGAGGACGCGCCACAGATGGGCTACGTGCTCCCTGCGGGATCGGTCCAAGTCATGTTCAGTGCAGGCGAGAAGTGGGTGACCCCAGACCAATTTCCGCACGTACTGAGGAGGCCACACGGACAACCAGAGGGGTAGTTTCTCATGAGGCATCTGTTCCGCCTATGGCGGGGATGCTCTGTGTGAGATGTCAGGGCTTGATATCCTCCATCCGCAATCAAAGTCGCCGAGATTGCCCTAAAATATTGCTTGTACTGCATGTGCAAGCCTGTTGGATATCGACTTCTCTGGCGTGCTGGATTGCAGCCTTGAAGCGAAGCACGGGAAATTTTCACCACCTGAACAGGTGGCTTTTCCAGTGGCGCGTGCCGCGCCAATGTAAGAAGACATGGGCATTTGCCCTCCGAGTGAAATGGCCAGAAGCAAGGCACGGGCTGACGCAAGATGCCCAAGGCATCTGACGGCTGCCCTGATTGCTGTTTCAGGCACGCGTTGAAAGCGCAAGATCTTTCAAAAGCCACCTCATACTTTATGTGGAGTGTCGTGAACTATGCATGCTGCTTTATGAGGAGCACGGTGATTGCATGTGGCCGAGGTCATGAGTGATGGTGGCATGGACTTTTGTCCGCTACGTCGGAAACGGGTCGGTCAAGGCTGCAACATCGTCTTGGAGCTGCGCTATGCAGCGGATGCAGTCGAGCAGATTCTAGAAACCGAGGAATGCTGAATCGACTTAAATAGACCCTAGAGGCATGTTTTTCATCTCCTCTCTCTCTCTCTCTCTCTCTCTCTCTCTCTCTGTTCTAAACATTGTATTTATGCATATACGTGTGTACACGTAGTCCCTCCTTTAAAGAAACTAGCTCGGATTTTTTGAGGGTGCACGCGGGCGGCATGGCCGTTTGTGGGGGGAGTTTTAGAGTGAAAGGCTTGCATTTTGCCATGTTCAACAACTCTGTAATCGATGCAAAAGCAGTCCATCACGTTTGTCCAGCATGGCTAACCCTTGTGCATGACGTCCTGACAACGGCGGAGGTTTCAATGGCCAAGAAGCAAGCGCTTCCACTATCGGCTACGACTCACTCGTGAGGAAGTGTTTACGAAACACTCTGCTCTGTAGATCAGTTCGTGCCTTATGCAGAGACCCCAAGCCAAATTTCAGTCGAGCTATGAGCGTTTGAAGCCCGAGCGGCTCTGCAGGACATGCGGCTCAACCTGCAGCGCAAAGCCGGCGATCTTGAGCGTGACAGGGCGGCGGGGAGCAAAAGCGAAAACGTAGCTAAGCTGAGTGCAGAAACTACGTGTCGAAGATACACGCCCATGCTTCTTGGAATTCGCAGAAGCTGCAGACAAGTGGGCGCCGTCATGGCCAACCTTCACATCTGAAGATGCTAGCGACATGATTTGTCAGCACACTCAAAATGCTTGTTCCACACCTGAGAGTCGCTGCACCTGAAGCGCTTGATCGTGGCATATCATGGCATGCGCAACGGTTGTCGCACCTGCTCGGTGGGGAAATCAAGCAACAGCGGCGTTACAGATGCAATCTTCTTGAGTTGAATCGTCTGTTCAATTCTTGTTGGCAGCAGCTACAACAACCTATTGACCCACTGAAGTATCAGTGCCGAGCAGACTGCACTTGAAGGCTTGAATAAATAGAGCTAATTGATGATTCTGATACGGTTGGCATAGACAAACCTTTAATCAAAACCCAAGATCATAGCCATACAGCTCAGAACCTCAACCCTGCAAAGCCCCTGTGCTGCGTAGAAACGCAGCCCGGGTGATGCAAGACTTTGCGAAGGACGATGCTTAGGCAGAAGCAGAACCTGCAGCAGCAACAGCAACTGTTCTCAGAGAATGCTTACAGGTTCGTGTAGTTTCCCGGTGCATGCTCAAAGTACTGTGTGAATCCGGTGGTGCGTGCCTGCAAGCGAAGGATGTGCCAGAAGGTGTGGTGCATGTGGGATTCGAGGAGGCGATCGCCCAGAAGGTGCTGCTGGAAGCCATAGCATGTGCGCAGTTCTGTGCCGTAGGGCGAAGTTATGCAATATGCTTACCAAAGCACGGTGGGATGTGGTCTGGTGCGGGGGGATCAGTGAGTCAGTGCAACATGACGGGGAATTTGTCTCATTTCTGATTGGTTTCAAAAGATCTTTGATGGCCTATGATCAATGGCAGCACGCAAATGATTCAAGGTAGAAGCCACAAAGAACCTTCTGTCACGTGCAGACATGCGGCTTGGCGGAAAGGAGAACGCGGGCGGGACTTGCAAAGCCGATGTGAGAGCAGCCCAAACTTGCTACCGCCCAGCTCGGTAGGGTGGTCACAGCTGTCCAACGAGCGGAGACCTCCGCCGTTAGGGCATTTGAGGCCGAACCTGACTTCCGGAGCTTTCGTTTTGTGCAGGGCTTCTTGGCTCCTGGTGCAGGTAGCAGCTACAGTGGATGTGGACGCTCTCACCACGGCTAGGCAGCGATCAGGCTCAGTCAGCCTAGCGTCTTGGTGTTGATAGTTCAGCTTTGGTCAGGTTGGTGGTGGAGCAGATTCAAGCTGCCTTGACACAGAGGCACAGCAATTGTATCGGTCTTTTGTGTGAGCCACTGTCTGGTTGACTTCAGAATGGGCACTTCAGAATGGGCACAGACAGACATTTACTTACTTACTTACTTACACTCACACACACACACACACAGACACGGACGGGGTGCCTGGGAGGCAAGCTGCGCAGGCTGCCGACAAGGCCCAATGTCCGGTGTCCTCTGCATCTCTTTGCATTTCAAGCTTTTTTTCAAGCCCGTGCGAGCCTCAGGCACCAGATGCCCCGGTCCCAGATGTTGCCGAGGCACCGCGAGCTGCGGTGGAGTGTTGGCAGAGCATTGCAGGTTGACTAGTTGCTCCTTGCCTGGCTGGTTTAAGCTTCTAAAGTATTGGCGTATTGGTGCACTCTCTTGCCAAGTGCGTGGCTTCCCAGAATGCGAGAGCAAGCCATCTCTGAGACATGTTGCTTGCAGTTCCAGGGCTTTAGCGGCTCGAGCTGGGTGCCGAGTTCCTGCCTGAACCACTGAAAAGACTTAACTAGACAGTGGATCGCCCAGAAGCGTTTTAAGTTCGTCGTGAGCAGCGTGATCATCGTCGTCGTCGTCATCATCAGAGCGGGGTATATACATCAGACAACATTTGGTCCGAGAAATAAGACCGCTTCACAGCTTACCCAGTACGTCTTACGTCCTGTCCTGTGCGACACAGTGTTACTGGACGCATTTTCTGTTGGACTGAAGCCCACATGAAAATTGCAAGAATGACTTTGACGATCAAGCTTGACGGGAATTCGGTAGTTTTCAACTAGCAAGCAGGGCACCTCCGCTTAGCATCGCTGATACCTTCCGCAAGGCGTTTGCTCGACCTCCAAAACTAAGCATTGTACCAAAACGTTGGGAGCCCGAACTATCAAAAAGAGCACAATGCATCCAAAGCAAACGCCAAAAGCGAAAGGGTGCCAAGTAGTTTGCCAGGCAGCGCCGAGCATTCAAAAAAGAAACCGCGCCAGGGATCTGAGACGGGAGCACACCCAAACACTGCCACGCCGGCGGAACGCACGGGTTTGAAATTCTGTAACAACCGATGTATTCGATTTGTTGTTGGGAGCGCAGTGGAACGAAGCTCTGTGACAAACGATGTTTTCAAGGCTCCCCCGCCATGTGCAGACATAACGAAGGCGTCGAAACCGCACACCCACCATGCGCGTGACGGGGGTGGATATTGAGAGCATCCAAGCTGTGCTCGGTGGTGTTGCATGGTGCTGCATTTGTCTCGTGTTCTCGCCCTCAAACATTTCTTCGAGAATTGCCACGAATAGAAAGCATAAAGAAACAAATTGATCACTTTAGTTCCCCGCCAGGATAAATAACAAAATGTCTTGCCTAAAGATTCTCCAACCCCCCCTGTTGCGTGGTGGTGGGTACGTAAGGGTTTAGTGCTTCGGCATCCGGTTGAGGGGTGCAAAGTGTTCGGACGCGTTAGGGGGGTGGGCGTAGTTGTTGGATCGTCGACAGGCATGATTGCATGAAGTATTCGCGCCCCCGAAGGCTCCAGGTGGCGCATCCGCTCCTCCGGCTCCTCCAGCTCCTCCAGCTCCTCCAGCTGCTCCAGCTCCTCCCCCGGCTGCCCAGGTGCTTGGGCTGGCAGAGCTGCCACCCAAGCCGGCACTTTTGGATGGGAAGACGGTGCGGAGCTCGGTTCGGACTTGGGCTCCAACGGTGTCCATGAATGCCTATGTGTTTGACCTTGTTCAGGTTTCGTTGGAGCTGGAGCAGGTAGCTTTTGCCCTTTTGTGGCCTCCTGCCCGCGCCTGCTCTGCACAAAAACCAGGAGATCCGAAGAACTGCCGACAAAGCTCGTGACATGGTGGAGCTACATGGTGGCAAGTGGCCAGATGTTAAAGACCTCACGGTCCGAATTGCAATGCTTTCACCAACGAATTTATGATTAGTGTGGAACTGGAACGTTCAAGCTACCACCCGTTTGCAAAGTATGCATGTCAATGCGTGGCCGTGCAACCCGAGGATTGCCCGGTTGGCGGCGTCAGACTGCACGATTGAGCCGGGCACCAAGTCCATGTGGAACCGAAGAAGCACAACACGTACCATTTTCGATAAGCACGCGTCGCTCGACAAGGGCTAGTTTCTGGGTCTTGATACCAATGGCTTCACATGCGCAGACACCGCACAGGATATCGTATATCGTTCCTCACCCTTTCCTCCCATCCAAAATCATCTTGGCCTTGAACTTTTCAACTGTTGCAGTGACATTAGGTATATAACGTGGTTTTTGAAGCCGGATCACAGGGAAGAGCCAGAAGTAAGTAACAGGAGCGGACGATGGTGTTCTTGCAAGCAGAAACTCATGAGCAAAGCCACTACATTCGTTTCAGTCGCTGTCGGAGATCACATGATAAAACTGAGATAATCCCGTGCAGACACAGTACTTTCTCCCTTCTCACTTACGGGTCGCAAGCCTGGATCGCGAACTCTTGGTCGAATCGGGGGGTGGCACTTCCTTCAGATGACTTGCATGACTTACACACTACTATGTCAGTATGTTCTGCTTCCTATCCGACGCACCAAGTTCATTGGCTGCTGACAAAGACTTAAGTTAAGAGATTCCATGAACAGCTTGTCCAACATCTAGTTTTGTGGTAGTTTCATGGCGTCTGCGCACAAGGCCGGGTGTACCTCTGGGGTCCTTGCTCCAGCTAGCGGCCCAGTACTTTGCGATTGAGGTCTAGGACTCCCAGTTGAGGTGATTCACACCCAAAAGGTCCATGAATAACTTTCATCAACCATGCATGCTCACGCAGGTCCTGCGACGATGAACTCCTGCAGAGCATGTTGCCTCAAAAAGAGCACATGGGTTCAAGCCCAGAATGACAGTATCCTGTGCTGAGCGGGCTTTTGTTGCTGCCAGCTGCTATTTGCTTGCGCCCAAGCGCTCATTGTGTATACCTTCATGTTGAAGATGTCGACCGCACGAGGATGTTCCGGCCAGTCGCTTCCAGAATGTCTTAAAGTTGCTGAGTTCCAGAAGAATGGGGAGCTCTGCAAGATTCTGCAAGCACAAATGCTTGCAGAAGTGCATGCAGATTTATTGCGAAGAGCATGTGGTAGATCACCGACTCTCGCCTTCGTCAAATTCCAGCATGCAAGTTGAAGTTAACAGTCCCAGACAGGCGTCACAGCATCCAGCGTCGAGACAAGTAGGAACCCAAGCATGGGGGTTCTTAACTTGCTTGATTTCTCACGGCACTCATGTGAAAATTCGACTCCCAGTTGTCTTCCCGTTGTCTCGACGCAGATGTTGTGACACCCGTCTGGGATTGGTGTCTCCCATTTGTCTCCCCTTGTAAAGTGAGCAAACCCCGGACGTTGCGACACCATGTGACCCCCGGCCTAGGACTGTTGTCTCCCATTTGTCTCCCATTTGCCTCCCATGTGCCTCCCTTTGTTCCCCAAACAGCTTTAGCTGGGGATTCTTAATTTCTTAAAGAAAGGGTTTCTGTGAGGCACGTTTGGATGTCTCACGGAACCAATCTAAAAAGTTGCCTTCCAGCTGTTGACAAATGGAAGAGAGACAGGTGTCACGTCATCAAGAGTCTGCTCACTTTACAATGGGAGACAAATGGACCATGGGGAGACAAATGGGAACAACAATCCAGAGTTTGCTTATTTTACACTAGCAGACATGGCAGACACATGCGCACTGCGGGAACGGTGACCAGAACGCGCCCGCAGTGCCCGCAATGGACCCCCCAAACCCAAGCCACCACGCACCACCCCGCACATCCTGCACGTGCACCCCCCCCTCCCCCCCCGTGGTCTGTTGATCCTCTGGTCTGCTGGCCCTCTGGCTTCTTGGTCGTGGGGTCCCTAATGGTCCTGTGGTCCCCTGATCTTCTGATCCTTTGGTTCTCCCCATTCAGGCTCAACTTGACGTGTACATTCCGGCACACAGCCCCAAAGCTCCTCCGGGGCAGAGCAGAACCAATCGCGCCTCGTTGACACGCCCACTTTGAGCTTCGGGGCTTCTGGGGCGAAACAGCAAGGTGGGCCAAACTTGACCCACACCTGGAATTGGCGATTTTAGGGACCGAGCAAAAACAAAGCAGGCCAAGCAAGACATGCACAATTGATCGGGGGACAGGGCAGAACAAAGCAGCCCAAACTTGACATGTGCACTTCGAACTTGGGGGCTTTAGGCGCAGAGCAGAATAAGAACGGGCCAAACTTGATATGTACGTCCCCTGGTCCATTCTTACCCAACGTAAATGGTGTATATATGTATATGTTTGCATGTACATATATATATATATATATGTATCTGTATAAATGGATGTGGGATGGTCGCCTGTGCTACGCAGCCCTTGGCTCCGGGCACATTAGGGGGCGGGTTCTCCGAGCACTGCTTGGAGAGGCACGGGGAGTTGGAAAGTGTTGGCAAGGACCATTTCCCTGAAAGCAGTTCGTTGCAAGCACAGTTTGGCGATGTCTGACTTACTCCCAGGTAGTGCCAGACTACATATTACGTACACGTCCACGTGCCAGTTCCTGGATTTTTCCTTGTCAGGTGATTGCCGGCGGGCTGTCACCAACCATGAAGCTCAATAGGCAGCACCTTCAGAGCAGAGAGGTGTGTTCGATTCGTGTCAAGTGAGTCTGGTACCATGAAGCACGCCATTACATGTCTTAGGGTTGCTTGTTTCGAAGGTTTTTGGGGAAGATGGTCAATGAGACCGTAACCATGGAGCTGAAGAACGGCACCCAGGTGCAGGCGCCTTGCCTCTTGCATCCCCCAGATAGTCCTCCGTAGTGCGCTGGGAAAGCGCGGCAGGCGCCCTGAGAGATGAAATGCGGTTAACACAGTCACCGGGTCTTGTCGCAGGTTTTCTCGGGAGAGGAAAACAGAAGCTGCCTTTACAAGGCTACAGCAGCCAGTGGCATTGCGCTTTTCTGCAGGGCACCATCACGGCTGTGGACACGTCCATGAACACTCACCTCAAGCAGGTCAAAGTGACCGCATCTCGGCTGCATTCACCTGGGTGGCATACGACATGGAGACTGCAGACTGCATGTGGCCACGTGACCACAGAGGTCCAGATTGAACCCTTGGGCTATCTTGCCATCCTTGAGGTTCGGCACAAAAACCCGGTCAATATGGCGTTCCTTTCAATCCGCGGGCTCCTGAGAGCACAAGGGCAGATGAAGCTCAATTAAATAGCCAGTAGCGGCATTTAATGCACAGTGACGTGGCTGCAAGAGGATTGCAACGCTGCAATGAACGGAATTACGAAATCAACGCTGTCAGTAGAGCGAGTAATGGATTTCCCTGAGTGTCCTTGCTGAACAGGTGGGGCCAACATCCGGTATGTGATCCTTCCAGATCATGCTGTTGCAAGCTCAACTGCTGGCCTACAAAGTCTACCGCTTTCTGGGTTGACTGCCAGGTTCACGAAATTGGGTCGATGCTTGTCTCAGGACTTGAACTTCCTGCTTATTGATGATGCTCCGAAGCAGAACCCGCCCAAGTGCCCCGGACAGATGTTGCTCTGCAGATTAGCTCCATCCAATAGAAGCATACGGCGAGCTCGATGGTTTTGAGAAAAGAAGTGACATCACATCACAGCAGGCTTCGACTGAGCAATGGCATTTCTCTGTTATCTGACAGGTATCCTGCAGGCACCAAGAAGAAAGGAGGTGCCTCCAGAAGTTCTCTCGCATTCTCCTCGAATGAAATTTTGTGGTTGTTCAGCATTGCATTGCTTGTCTTCTTGTTCCCTGTTGTTGATACCGTTTATTGGTGTGTGGACAGATATGGTCTCAGGAGCAAAAGTAGGCAGTGTGCACATGGCTACGGCTACAGCCCAACACCATGAAGCACAGAACTGCGCAACATTATGTCTTGAGAACATGTACCTATTACATGTAAAGCGCTATGGGAAGACACCTAGCAGGCAGTATAAGCCTCTGGTTGCATTGCCCAATGAACAAGCAACCAGTTTTTGCGAGTGTCTATGCCAAACGAGTTTTGCTTGCTGTGCAGGTGGTGCTGCTGCCAAGGCGTTGCAACCTCAGCCTAACTTGAGGCATCTTGAAACCAAAGCATTCGGATCTTGTATTTGATGTCGGACATCTGCAGAAAACCTACCAGGATTTTGCATGTTTATTCGCTCAGGACTGAGCGAGATCGTGGCGGTGAGCGAGATCGAGACCGTGATCGTGATCGGGACCGTGATCGCGACCGCGACCGCGACAGGCAAACAAGCTAGTATAGCTGAGGCACTCAAAATTTGTCGTCAGTCCTGCGTGGTGCTGGGATTGCAGGCGAAGATAGACCGTGCGAATCCAGCTTGAGGCAAGCTAGCTGCTAGCTCTTCTTTTGAGCACACGAGTCAGCTGTCAAGAGCTAGTTTTCTTGAAGTTCTGATTCAGCAGTGCCTTCCGTGATCCACATATTTGACCGAAGGAAAAAAATTGTAATCGCATGTAACATTCGATGTGTAGGCCCAGTAAGGCTCAAGGAACGTGCCTTGGAGGCATGTGCGACTGTCTGCATTGCGCCCCTGCCAGGCCTAGTCAATGCTGTGAATTCGGCGGAAACGGTCGTCTCACATCGCGGGCACTCTTAGACTGCGGCATGGACGAATCTGCTTGGCAAGAAGTGAACGTGCAGCTGTAATTACCAAGAGTCAAGCTGATGCGCCAAGATTCGTTTCCAATCCATTGCAGACTCGATGTCTGTCTAATTCCTGCGCAGTCCAGCTGAAGCTTCAGTTTTGTAAGCTTTATATGGTTAACATGACTTCAACAGTCTTAGAGCAACAGCCACTACCTGAACAACCAAACACACCGATAACCATCAGAAGTACTAGCTGGTGGGAGGAACACCACAGGTGTAGCGGCACAGGAGATGTGCCAACAGAGGAGGGATGCCCCAAACCTGTAAAGCATGTGCAAAAAGATACGTTTATATGATGTCGGCGTGTGCTCCTAGTCTCGCACGCAAAGTTCGTATGCTGCTCTCGCCTCCGTGGTAGACGCTGGCAGTGGCAGCTGCTATCCTGCTATCCATCGACAGGGTCTAAGCTGGGAATCCCCTGACATCCAAAGTTCCGCATCACCAAAGAAAAAGGCAAATTTGGGAACCCCAGCTTGGCTCTGCTTATGCACCGGTGAGTTGCTGACCTGGCATGAACTTGCACAGAGCAGAAATCGGCATGTTCTGGAACTTTGCATGTTGTAACACCGCTTCCATACTTTAGGGCACGCACTGTGTCGTTTATAGCGTCGGCAGTCTGCTGTCGAGCTGTTGCCGCGGCCAAAGAGCTTGTCTCCCGAGTCTTGACCAGGTGGTGTGAAGCCCTGATTATGACAACAGTTTTCAATAGTCACAGCTTCCATAGCAACTCCGATTCTTCGCTTGCACGACTGACATATGTTTAGTCCAACTTTCAGACCACATCCACATCATGTCATCCAAGACATTCTTTCCAAACTAGATCACATGGCCCACACTTTTCTGTGCAGGCGGGAGGGGCTTGTCGAGTGACTAAACCACCGGAAAGCCAGGGTCTAGACTTTCTGTGAGTAATCAGAGGTGACGCCAACATTAGGATTGTACTGAACGATTCGGCAGTAACTTGTCATAACTGGTCAGTGGTTCAAGCATTAAGCAGTTGCTAGATGGTTACGTCAGGTTATTTGGTTGCAGGTGAAGTGGCTGACGCTGTGCATGGCTTGCGCACGGAGCCTGATCGGACAGCAGCAGAATATCTGACTGTAGTTCATTGCTGTTCGTCACTTTCTCAATAAGCTTCTGCATAGCGAGCTTGCTCTATACAAGGTTGCCGCTGAGCACGACGTGACCGCGTCCGTAGACAGAATCTTACAGGTTGGGTCAATAGCTCTACAATTCTGCGGCGTTCCCACAGTGACAAAGTAGGCAGTGCACTTTCGGCACGTCAGGGGCAAACCCTTCTTCAAGTTAATCTGTCATTCCTCCGCATGGCTGGTGCCCGGGACCAGGATGCCCAGGCGCAGAGTGCGAGCTTTGCTGAGGCTGGGCAAGTGCAGACGCTACATGGCAGCACATGACAGCACATGTAGTCACAAGTGGCGGAGAGCAGCCCGTAGTGCACTTGCCATCGCACCTGTGGCCAGCGGCTGTGTCAAGTCACTCGTGCAACAACATCGGGAATTTTTTCAAACATTTTCGAACGAACGCTCTTGTGTGCGTTGAAACCACTTCCACTTGTAGTAGAGATCTCTCTTGCGTCGAGAGTTCTGGAAGAATGCCAGGAATGGAGAAATCGCTTGGAGCCAAGCTGCCATGGGTGTCAATGAGCCTAAGATTCACGACTCAACTTGACAAGGACTTTTAATGATACGATTCGCGACAGAAAGACAGCCGAATTCAGCGAAACATGCAGGCAACGACCTTTGCCGTGCAGCATGGATGCTAGAAATCACTGCAGCTTTCGTCAAGAAGGTCTGCAGCTCTCGGCCGCCGCAGCTTTCTCGCCGCGAAGCTTCTCAAATTCTTCGTGCCACGAAGCTCTGCAACTCTCTGCATGCCACCAAGCCCCACACAGACAAAGACATCTACAGTGTCTGCAGCTGTCGCAGCTAACGGCGAGCCCCAAACATCGAGACCTGTGTGGACGTCTCCACAACTCTCGCAGATGCGGATGCCCCAAATTGACGACAGTTTCATAAAAGCGACTTGTTAATCACAGTTTTGCATTTGGCGAATACGAGCATCCAAAAGCGAAGACAGCGTCGCATTTGGCGAACACGGACATTCAAAAGCGACGACAGTTTCGCATTTGACGAGCCCAAAAGCGACGACAGTTTTGCATTTGACGAGCACGAACCAAACAGACGACGGGCACGCCCGTACCTAGGCGAGAACGCGGCTCTCGTCCAAGATCCCACAAAGCGCACGGTTCGAGAAAAACGCATGTTCCAGGCCGTGTCCAGCGGCGCCGCGCGGCAACATCTGTCGGTACCGACTCCGCCCACTCATGTTAGAGCCCCTTAGTGTTGGCACACAGCTTGAAGAACAAATATATCGGCCATGTTTGTAGCTTCATGTTCGGTTATGTGTTGTTGACTCTTCGTGTATTCTTGAGCTTGTAGAAACTAAGCACTGCTGCCTGAATTGCGTGCAACTTCTTCGTGGAGTTCAGTGCTAATCCCATTGGATTGTTAAGCAGCAAAGCAAGGCCACGAGCAGCTCATCGACGCAATTCGGACATTGCACAGGCAGCTTGGAAGATGGCAGGATGCAAAGATGGAATATGCTAAGCTCTGTTAAACGTTGGAATGCTTGCAAATGACGGTTGCACCGTTGCACGGGTACAGTCCCCTTGTTTTGCCGATGTGAACCCCGCTCCTGCCCAGGTGCGCAGAACCGCTTCCTGAGGTGCTTCATTGAACTCTGTCTGGGACTGGGGCAGCCATGGGCAACTTGTGAAGCGGGTTTCAAAGTTGACGTTGTCGGGCAAAGCAACGTCAATGCAGCAGACAAGGCTTGTAACTCAGATCAAGTATGTGAACATATATATATATATGTATGTATACAGTTTCGTTTGCCATGTTCCGGCACAATGGCAAAAGTTTGAAGTTGCCCCTGCAGCGGTGACAGGCCCTGACTCCACAGGAGGAGATCGGCAACAGCTGCTTAGCCATGCACAGCCCAGCTCTCGTATCTCTCCCTCGCTCTCGTGTTTAATGCATTGGCGACTTCGACAGTGCTGCAGCACAATCTTCCGACTGTTCCAGCCCGAATGCCAGTCTCCTTGCACATGTTGAGGTCCTGGGCAGCATCCTGTGGACGCCAGTGGTCGGAGCGTCAGTGCCTGAAGGGTCGTTCTGAATTGTGCAGCTGGCGGCGGCGCTATACCTGACCCGCTTTGCAATGCCACAGCTACCGACGTCTTTGTTTTGCTTAGTAGCTTCATTTGGGAAAGAGTATGCTGCGCAGATAGCAGGTTCCAGTTCCAGGTGTATCGTTTCGTGCAAAGGTGTTCTCAACGCAAGTGAATGTTGAGAAGCCGGAAGATGGAGGCCTGACGCTGTTGACGTTGTTCCCCACTCTTCCAGTGCAAGAGTCCAAGCCGTGGGCACAGTAGTTTGGCAGTCTTGCGTGCGTTTTTTGGGCTATTACAGCCTGGAAGGCACTCCGTCACCGTCTTCTGCGCTGCGAAATCAGGCGATGCAGTGCATGATTTCAGCACGCGTTTCGGGTGAGTTGCGACTGAAGCGAAGGCGAGCGACACACCTTAATGCTTTAGCCACCGTGACAGCGCCTTTGCCAAGGCGGTTGAGCTGCAAAAGCTCCAGCAGCAGTTGGAGACTACTTTCCAGGCTGCCCCTGAAGATGTAAAGGCAGAAGGAGGTCAGGTGAACTTGTTCGCGTGCTTGTGAGTTCCGACCAACACGATGCCTGATGGGCAGAAAGATCTGTACAGGTCTGACCAGACGTCCGCAACGGGTTTCTTGAAAAGGGTCATCGATATGATATATCTGAGGAAGGAGAGACAAGGGCTCTCTGAAGTGTTTAGGGCATCCGTGTCCTCGCATGTCCGTAGCCTCTCATGCATTGTGACACACCTGAGGCAGAGAGATGCGCAGAAGCCAGGGACTTGGTTGCCCCATGAAGTCATACGCTGGGCAAACATCTTTGGCCGAGATCAACTGTGGCTGCAGTTGCTGCTGTTGTTGCCTGTTTCTCTTGTTGGCTGTTGCTGTTGTCACTGTGGCTGTTGCTGTTGTCACTGCGGCTGTTGCTGTTGTCACTGCGGCCGTTGCTGTTGTCACTGTGGCTGTTGGTGTTGCTGTTGGTGTTGCTGTTTGTGTTGCTATTGTGTTGCTGTTTGTGTTGCTGTTTGTGTAGCTGTTTTGCTGCCGAGAAATCCCTGACACGCTGTGGGTCTTACGGCGCCTCACAGTGCTTGGAATATGCAACGGACTGCAGGTGTAAAGAAATCACAGACTGCATCTTCGAGTTGCCGCATTGCGCAAAGCAGCATCTTGGAATTGTCAAGCCTACACTATGACA